ATTGTGCAACACAATTTAACACAAACTGGACAATATCACCTAAAGAGCATAGTCCAGCCACTCCAGGTACAAATTGCAATTATTACATGAGAACTAAGACTTTATGACATTTCCTACAAATGTTAATTAGCTGGTAGGTTAAGGCCCTTAGTCATGTAGCACTTCATCAATCACAAAGATTAAACTATTAAAGATGGAAACTGTAACATTTTACATGAAAAGTTATGTAGCAAGTCAAGGTAGAGTATTATATTAGCCCTCTTTAGCTGGTGCTCTTTTATGATAGTCCCCACAAAAGAATTTCCACAAGCTGCTGTCCTAATATGATCCAGGTCTACATCCTGTACACTGCTCTTGTCTCAACAGCTACTGTTTTCATCACTGAGACTCCTACTTCAGAGTACATAACTGGAGGTTTTAAGTGTCTGTAGATTCCTAGAGGACAAAACACTCCACTTCTACCTACTGTACGAAAGGCGAAATTTGGGAGCAGAGGGACGTCATCCAGCTCAGCACTTTTGCCCTCCAGCCTCGGCCACATTCATAGAACTGGAATGTTCTGGTAAGAAATACATAAAGATTTCTGAGGTCTGCCCCTCTGCATGCTAAACTGACAGATATGAGGTGTAAGACTAGCTTTGCCAGGTTAAACAAGGCTATTAAAACAGCATACCCAACTTTACTGGCACTAAAATGGAACAGTGGTGCCAAAGGTTCTAAAAGAAAGAAATATTAAGTAATATTGCACCTCTGACATTGACATAAGTTTATTATTACTCCATGCCAATCTACCTTGATCCAAATCCTCTAAACACATGCTGCTCCAGTGCTGGGCCTCCCTTAAGCCTGCAAATTATCCTGAATACTGCAGCAGTTTTGCAATTTGGTCAGAAATTACACCCAAATCTCTGCACAGAAGGACAATGCACCATCAGATCCTTATCTAGCCCATACATTTTTCTGCATCTTGTGTTCATTCCTATGGCTTCCCATGAGCCTCCCCACAGCTGTTTTGGGTTTGATTCTTCCCCACCTTCGGTAGGGAGTGCTGAACAGAACCTGTCCTTCCCTCCCAGTGTGACAGCTATCCAGAAAAGAGAAGGAACTGCTCCACTTTCCAAAAAGGAGTTCTTCAGTGTTATCTCCTTTGTAGTTTTGGTTTTTTTTCTCCATACAGCAGATAATGCATATAAGAGAAGGAATACAGATTAGAAATTACATATTTCCAAATTACATATTCCTTCCTACTCACTTTCAGGTTATTACTGACAGAAATATTTTTAGGCACTATACACAAATTCTTCCTTCTTCAGTTACTTGAATACAACCATTAAAACAAATGTTATTTTAGGCTGAGTGAGGTACTTGAGGCTGAGTGGAGAGAGATGTAGCCATCTATCTTGCATCGACAACTGAAGGCAGGAACATAACTGGTTATTCACAAGTCTCATATCAAAAGTAAACAAAAATACAAGGGTATAAAATTTGGTCCTGAGTAGAGAGAAGAAAATGGAGGCAAGCACCAAAATATTACAGTCAAAAGAGCCTGATGTCCAGACAGAACCTGCCAAGAAGAACTAGAAGCACTTCCTTCATTTTTAGAAGGCTTTCAGGAGAGTGAGCAGAACCAGAGCAGTCCTTGATGAGGGAAGGTATGTAAACCCAATGTACAACCCACTGTGGGGCCCAGACATTGCTCCACCTCCTGAGTGTCATTGAAATGGCCCATCCTGCTTTCCACTCCCTGAATTCTCCACATGTATGTGCACATTGAGAACAAGTTTCTAAATTCTCAACACAGACACGTCTGGCTGCCATCCCAAAGTGGAAGATGTGACCAAAAGTTCAGATTATGAGAAAAACTGGAGGAAAGCAAAAGTCAAGTCCTTTCAATGCAGAAAGGAGTAAAAGATAAAATTATAATTAGATTAAAATAAAGGATAAAATTACTGTAATTAGGATAGATTAAATACTTTTCTATCAAAATCTATTCTTAGTTATGCTTGCAATTGGAAAGGCACATTGTCAAAACTGTAAAGAAAACAGGTATATTAGACAATCTTTTTTTCTTAAAGCACAGCATCCACTACCACACTGTCTGAAAAGCCCTGAAAAGGGCCTGTTCAAAAATACTGCAATAACAAACATTATAGTGCTAGGAATTTGTACTATACATAGCCCAACATACTTTTGAAATAACACATAACCAATCTGCCTCTGCTCCAAAAGGAGCTGTGCTCCCTTTGCCAGAACATGTGGACTGTCCAAGGTATGAATGCCCTGGGACACAGCTTCATCTGGTGAGGGTAAAGTTATCTACAGTGAAAGGTATCAGTGCCAGGAAAGCCTCTTGGAAAAAAAATAGACCCAGAACACCCTTCCCTTTCTGCATGCAAGAATTGGGAGCCAGAGATGAGATTTCATCTGCTGCCAAGGACACTGCAGTGCCCAAGGACCCTAAACACAAGAAGTCATGAACCAACAATCACTGCCAAAAGGAAGCTGAACATTTGGGTTAACCAGACAGATTGGTTTGTTTTGTTTTTTCTCAGGTGAGTGTAAAAGCCTGAATTTGCCTTGGTGACATACAGCATTTTCTACTTCAGAATTGTACACCAGGCACACGAAAAGTAAACCCTGAAAGCATCATTTATAGCATCATGACCTAGATTTACTTAAATGAGGGGTGAGCAGAGCAGGACAATACTTCAGTCAAATTTCTCTTTAGTCAAATGATCTGTGAGTGAATATGGGAAGAGAAACACAAGTAAAATAAAGATCCAAATCTAAAAATGTGACCTAAGAGTAATTTTAAAAATGTATTTTCCAAATACATTCACATTCTTCTCCTATAAACAAAATAATGGTATTATGACAATCTAGTATCAGTATTTTTCAACATGCTAACATCTACACATTAAAAGAATGTAGTTACAAAGAATGCTTCAGAAAAGCAAATCTACACATAGCTTTTGTGCTATAAATGTAATACTTTTTGCCTTTTTTTAAAATAATCATCAAAATTCATTCTTCTGTAAGTGAACCCAGTATTCAGCCCACAGCAGAAAAACTAAACTTCACAAGTCCCCTAATGAAAGGAAATAAAACCTCCAAGATAGAAAATGCTACTGGAAGTGCTACCTCCAGTTTTAAAAAGATCAGTTCAGTACCAGCTCCAATTTTCCACCCAGCTGTTAGCAGGATTTATCTCTTTGTATACTAGAGCTCATGAGGCTATGGCATATTTTATTCTACAATCTAGTGAAGAGAATGCAGTTTGAGAATGATTATGGCCATCAAGAAGCAAGTGTAAAAGAGGCAAGACCATCTGCACGCCCTAATAAAATGGCCATGATATCTTAAAAGGAGAAGTGGTGTTATGCTGCATATTTCTGAGGACAAAGCCACAGCAGCTAGTGCTGGTAGCTCTGTGATAGTTACTCATCACAAAATTTTCATCACTGAATACACATTCCTCTTACTGAACCATTTCCTCAAGTTCTAAGTACAAGAAAAATTGTAATGTTGGTTTGGTCAGGGATTTGGGTTTGGTGTTTTTTTTTAGAATGCAAACAATAAGAAAAGATGCAGTCTATTCTTCAGAACGCTCAAGAAATGTCGAAAACTAGTTGGCATTGAGGATAAAAGCCTTGAAGTTTACTTTGTTTTATATGATCAGCACTGCTAACAAGGCAAATATTCAGAAATAGGATTAAAGTGGGAAATTGTAAAATGTTGGTTTGGTCAGGGGTTTGGGTTTGGTTTTTTTTTTTAGAATACAAACAATAAGAAAAGATGCAGTCTATTCTTCAGAACGCTCAAGAAATGTCGAAAACTAGTTGGCATTGAGGATAAAAGCCTTGAAGTTTACTTTGTTTTATATGATCAGCACTGCTAATAAGGCAAATATTCAGAAATAGGATTAAAGTGGATGAGCATTTATATTCCAGCTTTGATAGACCCTACTTCTCAGGCCTGAAAACACAATGCTCTCAGCTTCTGGAAAATAAGAACTTGGCTTTTTAAATTTGGTACTTAAGCAACTGCAGACAGAAGCACAACTAGACCATGTGAACCCTGTAGGAATCCTGGAGGAAAACCACAGTAACATGAACTACCTACATAATAATAGAATAAGGAGGAGTAGACATACTTTGAGTGGCTGTAAAAGGAGGGGAGAATAGTAAAATATAGGTGATGCCAGAAACTTTTTTTCCATTTCTGTGTCTGCTTACAAGTGCATCTCTATATGGTAAACAGTGACACATGAGACACAAACAGTACCCACCTGGTAGCATAAATATCTTGGTGAGTGTGAGAACAAGGATATGGATATGAACTCTCTACTGCTGCCTGCAGAACCCGTGCAGAGCTGCCTCTACAGGAAATTCCCTCCCCACTCCCCCAGGTGAAAACTGTAATGATTAAATCCAACTTCCAAAGAGAGCAAATGCAGTTAAATTTGTGGAAAATTAGAAATAATATAATTTGGCTGTTTGGAGGGGGCCTCCCTTCTTAATGTCTTTAGACCACAAGGAAAGCAGATAACTGACTTAATTTAGGTTCCTTCTCCACTCCCCTCCTCTCCACCTAGAAAAGAAAGTCCTTCAGGCTAAAAACACAGTATCCCAACCCTTTAGCAGGCCCACATATCTTACTTACATTTGGAAAGAGTAGTAATCAGTGTTCATAAGGATACTGGAACCCTTTGTGTTGAGGGATAAGTTTCATCAGGATTTTTCAGTACTTTCCTTTAACTCCAATAATTTTGTGACAACTGCAGCATCTAATATTTTTCTGATATATTATATATATATAAAATACTATAAAAAATGTACCCACAGATAAAAGCAAGACATTTTATATTAGAATATTTTACTATTACAGACTCTCTGCATCTTTTTTAATATAGTAATACACTTTAGAAACAGGAGTATTTCCTTCAAATGTGCCTCAAATGTTGTACAACATATCGTTTCATCTGTGATAACTGATCTTACCTTTTTCTGAAGGACATTAATTTTTCTTTCTTTTACTTCCAACATGTCTTTCATATCTCGAATTTCTCCAGCAAGGGTTCCCTTCTCTTCTGTGAGGTCTTGAAGTTGTTTTGTTTTTTTATTCAGAAAGGTTTCCTTTTCTTCTAACCGTAACCGCAAGGCATCAACCTACAGTAAGTAAATCAAGCATATTTAGGGTTCAGTAGAGATCATCAGCATATTTTTTTCTAATATTCCTTTATTCACACTTAAGAAATGTTTTATTTCTCTTCATTGTAATTTTCCAAACTGAACTCTAAGACACTGTTTTACTTGTTATGCTTTTCTACAGTGTTTATTTCAAAAGTCTCTTACCAAATGGGTCTGACTACTCCCCTGTAGTAAGCACAAATCCCCATCAAACAAAATAAGGGATAGTCAGGGATTTTCCTAAATAACACACTCTTCATATATCACTGGCGGATTGGTTTTTTAAAAAAAAATACTAAAAAGAAGAAAAAAATAAAACCTGAAAGTATCAGGAAGACAGTGGAGGCACGACCGACATCAAAGAAGGCTCCAAGGATCTGCAGCTCTTTCTTGTTCTACAGCACAATCTGTTATACCCTTCATCCCACATGCATTGCCCCTGTGAGCCCTCTGCTCCCTTTGGAGGTTGGTCAGTGCCCCTGGGCACTCCCTGGCTCATTGCTGTCAGTGCTGCTCACCTGCTGCTCACAGCTGTGCCCACTGGGGATGAGGCTGGGCCAGCCCCACTCCAATTAGAGTTCATGTCATCCCAAAAACACAAAAGAATTCCAACAGCCCAGAATGCATAAGCACCCTTGATTTTCTCATTTCTTGCTGTAAATTTGTTATTCTCTTAATGCAATTCAAACAGTAATAAAATAGCAGAGATCTCAATTGATTAAAGAGACAGAGTATGCTTGGCTTTAACCATCGTTACTACAAGAATCACACTGGATATGTATTGGTGCCTTCAGCAACACTTCCACTGTTTACATATTCTGGTTCAGAAAAGCAGCTACAAATGAATTGCTGAGCAGCTCTCAGCATAACATACTGGGGGGTGGAATATTTGGGAGAAAATAATAGATTTTATCATATATGAAGTTTTTAAAAAACAAGACTTTTTGTTTCACCGTGAGTTTCATATTATGGAAAGCTTATTTGTAAATATAATCATGCAAGACAACATATACCCACAAAATTCAGTCAGTGCTAATAAAAATCATGGAAAGTAGAGAACTAAGATAAAGGAAGTGCAGTCATTCCTTGTTACAGAGACAGATTTCCTTGAACAGAGGTTTTTTCTGCACCTCTGAACCATGAGGTGCTCACATTAAGTGGACTCATGGCTTTCTTTGGCTGCAAGGCTCACCACTGAGAAGTCAAGGTTTGGATTGAACATGTATGATGTGGCAATTTAGAATAATTCTCCATCTACAAGACAACTGCAGGCAGTCAGGCAAGTGAAAAATATTAGATTCACTAACTAAAATTTCAAACATACAAATTATAGCTAATAAAGAACAAGAGTTTAAAGTTTGTATTTCCTAGAAATACATAAGGTTAATTCATAATAAAAAGCTAGATGGAAGAAACTGAAAGAGCATAAATGGAGCCTTAGCATTTTTAAGTTCTGCACATGGAACAGTGAGGGTCTCCTCTATTAAGCAATTTGTTCTCTAGTTAATCAGAATACTATCAAAGTGCAAAACAATCATCAAATCTATATTTATGTGTATTCTGAGTTTAGTAACACTAAATTTATTCAAAGCAAAAGTATTTTCAATGCCACATTAAAACTTGGTTTGGGACCAATTTAGATGATCTATTGGATCTCAAAATGCATGTTCTTCCTGCTTTTAAAATGGCTCATTGCCTTTCTATACACTGGAAAAAAGATTTATATTCCACTAGATTTACTTTATTTTTAAGACTTTTTTTACAATATTACAGTAACGGGATCTCTTAGTTTGTAAGCAGTGTGCAGTAAGGGATTCAAAGATGACTTTTTCAATTACAAAACAAGAAATAATAGTAGCAGCAAGCTTTCAGACCTCTTTTTATAAACATAAAAGACCTCATCTGAATCTCATTACTGCATCTTCTTTATACTTAATCACTTCTTTGCTTCACAGCTGAAAGCAATCCCTGAAGTCAAATCACAGAAATCTCTGTTGGGCCTTCCAGCTGCAGCTGAGGAGCTCGTCAGGACCTTGGAGCAGCTCTCCAACAGCAGCTCTCCCTATCAGCCACTGCCAGGATCATTTCCCAGCTGCCACCAAGCAGAAGCCTAAAGCTTCAAGTCAAGGGAGCTGCAGGTGATTGGATCCCCAGACAAATAAAGCTGTGACACCATTCCCCCGTGGCTGGGATAACACAGCAGCTTCCACAGGTCAGATGCAGCTTGTCCAGATTGGCTGAACCTGGCAGTGTCAGTAATTTTTTCTGCTCTGCCCATCCAGTCCCCACCCCAAGGGCTGAGGAGACAGTTCTCACTCTTCTTCACAAATTTCTTCCCACACTCCCTGTCAGCATGGCTCTCTAGATTCAACTGAGGAATGGAAGGGATTTTAGGTAATAAAATTTGGGAGCACAATGAGGGTGGAGAGGATGAGCAAATGGCTCTGAACGCCCAGTGACAACCTGCGTGGGAAACAGGAGCAGAGCTCCTGTCCACTCCAGCTTCTCAGACTCAAATCCTGCTGTAGCTTCAAGCAGAGTCTTTAAAGCATAACCAAAGTGCAGCTTCAATTGCACTGAGAAACAGCCAAAGAGTCTCAACCCTATCAACCCCAATTCACACAAGGACAGTGCAAGAGGTGGGAAGGAAAGAGCACAGCATATCCACCACAGCCTTGGGTGGCAGAAAGAAATCTGCCAAATACAGATCTAGTTTCTTACATCTTCTCATCTTGAGGCTGATACAGCAGAGCAATTTAATTCAAAAACCCACCTGCACAATGACGTATTTTGATGGAATAAGTATATCATCCCCAAAGTAACATTCACAGCAAGGAGCCATTCTGAAAGTGGAGACAGAACCCTGACCAGTGCCAGCCTTGGAGAGGGAATACACAGCCCATACTGTGTGTGGTCTTGGGTCTGCAGATTGATTTTCTATTCACAGGACTGCCAAGTGGAGGTTTAGGAGAACATCAGTTATGTCAGTCATTTTCTCCTTCCCTAAAGTCATCGTTCTGCCTGTAGAAACCACGAACCAAGACTTTTACATTTCTCACAATAGGAAACAAAACTACCTCAGCTTGACCTGCAGGTGACCTTTCACTATCTGTTCAGCACTAAGCGTGGATGACATCATCTCATAAGTCAAGTAAGAACCTCCAGATGGCAGAGAACCAAAATGCTGTTAAATCAGGTCCTCATCTTGTGGACCAGAAGCAAAATATACTACTTCATATTTGGCCAGGGTCAATTTGCAATGTAAGAAATTGTCTCTTCCCTGCAAATGGTACTGTGAAACCGCATCTCCCAAAAATAACACAACAATGAAGTATTCTAGATGGAGCATGCCAGCACACCATGAGGAATGTCTGCCATTTTGTTACTACCGCTTTTCCATTTAAGGCATTTTAAATATGATTTGAAAGGAAATTAAATTTGGGTCATTTTACAGCAACAGATATATATATATTCCTTTAATATTTGAAAGGATAAGGATTTCTCGTACACAAAACCTCTCTTTGGCTTTTCACTCAACACTATCTAATTTTAAGAGTCCTTCACTTATTTTTTCCAAGCTCTTACAGTATATTTACTAGTAAAACTTGGCAGTCTGAAGAATACCATAATTTTCAAGAAAAATAAAGCAAAACCAGATCTGATAGCTAGCACATTAAGTATTTCAAAGACCCCTCTCCAAGTAAATTGCTTTTTAATTTTGTCTAACTTCTTTTTCTTCAGCTGCTACTTATTTCTACTATTTAATACAATAAACTCTGTCACTTGCTCTGGAAATATACAACACACTGTAAAAACTTTAGAATTGGGTAATACTTTTGGAAAAAAGAGTTCATGTAAGTGGCAAAAATTGCCAAATTCAAAGTCAAACTTTATTAATCTTCATGTCATCACCTGCCACTCATGACCGGCTTCAGTAGTGATGTCTATTCCTTGAAGTTCCTTACTGTTAACTGTTTAACTTAGATGCCATATTACATATATCATTTATGAAAGTGGTTTAGTGCTAAGGAGCTCCAGGGGGAAGTAAAACATGAAGCAGCACGACTGTGTTTCACTGTTAAGAATTATTTACTTTACCATCATAAATAGATACATTTAAGACTGTATTTTTTTAAACTAAACCTGAAGGTCCTGCTGAAGTCCTAAGTGTGCTGTAGTACCACAGCAGGAGTAGTAAGAAAAAACTGCAGCCCAGTGTTAATCCCCTCCTGAGCCAGCCCTGTTCCTGCACACATCGCAGCCAATATTCACCACTGTGCTCAAGAGTCCTCTCCTCCTCTTCTGCACCATCATTCTCCCCCTTCCTCATCATCACTACAGGCTCCACAGCCCTGTAGAAATTTTCTGGCTATTATTTGCTCTTTTAGTATATTATGCAGCCATCTTTTGAGGAAAATCTTCAGTTAATTTATTTAAAAAAAACCTAATTTCTATTAAAGATCTTAGTGCCTGTGTTTATGCATCCACATGTATCTTGGGGAAGTTCTAAGCTGTTACTATGAAAACCAATTTAAACCAAGAATAAAAGAGCTGTCACTCTGATTTTTCATATAGAACTACTGAATTATTAGTACAGACAGCATACTCTCACATGGGTCCTTTTACAAATATGAGAACTGAACTACAAGTATAGAAAGGATATCATGTGTCCCAATTGTACTCTCCAGAGCCATTTAAAAAAAACCCAAAAAACCCTATTCTAAAATAAGAAAATATAATGAAAACTACCTCTTCAACATGTTTGTTCCTTATATTTTAGTCTGATGTGATAAAGATTATCTTTTTCCAAGCAATAGCTGTACCTGGCAAGCCATATATTCATTTCTATCAAAAACCTCTGATGTATGTAAAATTCAAGGCAGAAAAGGCAGAACATTTTGAAGCTGCAAACACCTGAATTTTGTACAGTTACTATCCTTTACACTCTGTTCCAAACTGAAACTCTAGTAAGCTTGCTA